ACTGTCCAAGTGCATACTATTTGTCATGAAATATCCCTCACTGATAGCCTCAGTTCGTAGGATTATCTGTTAGTGTAGTAAATTATAACGGATTGCTTCAATCAAAGTTTCTGGAGAAAATCCTAGGGTAATAACAAGATATCAAGAAGCATAAGTTATAGGACTATTTAAATCACTTCACTTAGCCAATAAGTAAAATATGCAAAAATCCTAAGTGAAAAAGTTGAATTTGGAGAAGGTGGTACGACAAAATTGCATATTAGATAAGTTTATTAGACTTGACTGTACTATCATAATACGAAATGAATTTATCTGATATGGCATCCATACTAAGGTAACTTGGAACACTTCAAACTGGGTTTAATAAACGTGGTGTAATTAGTTAGCAGAGAAAGAAAAATCAGCATTCAGGTATACTAAAAGATGTAGTCAGTTAAAAATCAAGAGGCACGCCAATGAAGTGGAGGGAAACTTATTACAGCTTCTTTCAGAGTTCATAATTTAGCCACTATCCGTTCTGATGAAGTGAACTCAGGAAATTCATTTGACTTGGTATTACTGATACCTAAACTTCTTTTCAAAAGCAAACGTAAAGAAGCACCTGAGAAACAATTAGTCGAAGAAAATTTACATCATTTAACTCATAGTCACTGACACGAAATACACCCCATAGTCCTTCTAGAAGAGTTTTCCTTCAGTGTTCTAATGTTTTCGTGCAGAAAATCTATGTGACACTGATTTAATGAAATTTGTGTATTTAAAATGAGCCCGATGACCATTAAAAAGACATCAACAGTTTTCAAGTGGCTGAATGGTATACCAGCTTGCCTTGTAACCCGAAGGCGCTGTTTCCGATCCCTGGTGGGGTGATGGGAACGCCCTGATGAAGACTACTAAACAGAGACGAGACAGCCATTCAGTACCTCCTGGTTTCAAATAGTTCTCCAACTGAAATCGATTCATGATCGAAATTGCAACTAATCAGATCCCTGAAGACCAACACTTAAAAAAGGATTAGGATAAAAGTTTTCTTAAATAGGTTGAACTGATTTTCGATTTAGAGATGAATGGCGTTCAAGCAACTTAACCGAGAGTATGGCTGCTATACATTATATAAAAATGCACATCTAACTATTAAACAAATGGAAGTCAAGTAAAAAGTGAAAACCAGAGAAAATAATTTGAAGACATCAGCATTATATCTATATATAAATGCTCACAAAAGTCCTTAATTCTGTCGAAAAAAGAAAGACTACGTGAAAATTAAGTGACTCGAGCTTTAAGGTTGTGTGAAGCGTGATGACGTAGGACTTTACAGTTGAAAAAAGTTTAGTAAAATTCCGAACTACTCAATAGTAATATAAAGAATAAAGCTATATTCTTATAAAGTAGAATTTTGCATGTGAATTATGTCTACCTTTTATTTACTAATAAAGCTTACCGATATAATTTTGCATCTATGCCTTGTATCCTGAATGTGCTTTAACCAGAGAGGTTTCCAAATTAACGAGATCTCTCTTTCTGTGTCCTTAAATATAAAATCAGATTCTATTAGGCTGCAATAATGTGCAAAGAAAACTTTAGAGACTATTAAACGTTTCCCAGTAAATAAGCTACAGTTATTTAGCTCTGCATAACTTATGAGTTACTGTTGCACTACTGTTTCACTAAAAGCATTGAACTCATTGAGTCTATTGCCATTACTGTGGACTTTTCAAGCTTTGGACTTGTGTTTACATGACTGCTAACGTGCATTATCAAAATGAGTGCAAGCCCATGACGTTAGCTCAGATGAACTAAGCAGAAGGCCTTCTAAAATGCACTGATGTCATCTGACAAAGTGGTGTAATTTTTTGTAAGCATGTCATAATTATTCTGCACTTCATTAATCACAACCATCAGAACAGCGTATAAAGGCTACGTCTACATAGCTGTTACCGTTATACCTAATAGAGTTCAAATATCAGTGGAACGTCATAACAAATCACTGGAAAACATGAAAACTGTGTTTAGTATGTTGCGTGTTCTATTTGACTAAATTAGCGTACACGTATTTCCTAGTACTTCTTCACGTTTATCAATGTGCGCAGACGTTGTGGCTACTCGACGCCCACAACGTAAAATCAGAAGGCACTTGTGAAGAGTATAATCGTGTATTATAGCCGTAGTCAAATTTCAAAATTGTATCAAGGTAACGTTCAACAGTAAATTGACAAATGTTTACGAAGTACATATAAAATCGGTATGTGTAAACATATAATATGAGTATGCAAATTAGATTAAAATCGTATGTTTATAGTTGGTATAGGGGTACTACATAATTCCCCCACCAGAACACTGAAATATAAAAAAAATACATTTAAGTGTTCGACAATAACATGCATCAGCGTAATACGTAACAGCGACAGTACACAGAAGGCGATTTATTAAGCTGAAAAATGAGCAGTTTAATGCGGTCAATAAGGCCGATAATAAATGCGATAATAAAAGAAAAAATAGGATTGATGATCGTGGTAGAATATATAAGGAATGATACAATCGGCCGGGGATCTGTAGTCTGTATACGGAAACGATACGTGAATATTAAGCGCTATATGATTAAATGTAATAATACAGGGAATATCGATGTTAAAATAGTAGTGACGTGATTTACGTATGAAAATATTAATCAGTTAAATGAGTAGTTAAATGACAATTACGAATAAAGATAATAAAAATGAAAATTCGTAGTAAGTTATATTTTGATGATTTGCACATAACGTTTAGGCCAATGAACTCTCCTACCAGAGCGTGTAGTTTTCATAGGTTTCTCTGGCGACGTTGAAGCTTGCGTGGATGTAGCTGTTGGCACGTCGTTCAGCTGGTCTTTATCGTTGGCTTCAAAATCGTCGATGAACGCTGGTTTGACTCTGTCGACACTGATGGCTTCTGCTTTATTCAGTCGTTCTATCGTGATAACTTTATCATTTCTATTTAGAACTTTGAATGGGCCATCGTAAGCGGGTTGAAGTGGTCGTTGTACACCCTCTCTCCTGACAAAGACGTGAGTGCAATCTGTCAGTTGTTGCGGGATGTATGACGTTCGTTCCTGCTGGCTTGGAAGTGATATCTTAAGTTCGTTCATGTGTTGTTTTAGCTGGTGCACATAACCAGTCATATCTTGTGGAACTTGGTTACCTGGGGTGAAAAATTCTCCTGGTAGTCGTAATGTTGTTCCATAGACTAGTTCGGAAACACAGCAGTCAATATCTTTCTTTAGAGCAGATCGTATACCAAGTAGTACCAGTGGGAGTTTGGTTGACCAGTCGTTTTGAGTCAAAGAAGCAGCGAGCGAAGCTTTGAGTTGTCGATGAAGCCGTTCAACCATACCGTTGGAACTGGGATGGTAGGCGGTTGTTCGTATTCGTTTAATGCCCAGTAATTCAGTTAGCTGGTTAAAAAGTCGGCTTTCAAACTGAGCACCTCTGTCCGTAGTGATAATGGATGGGACACCAAAATTAGCTATCCAGTTTTCGAGCAAAGCTTTAGCTACCGTTTCAGCGGAGACGTCGGCTATTGGAACTGCTACAGGCCAACGAGTGAATCTATCGATGCAAGTTAGAATATAGTTGAAACCATTGGAAGGAGGTAGTGGACCAACTATGTCTACATGTATATATTCAAATCTAGAGTCGGGATAAGGAAAGCGACCAAGTGGTGCATTAGTGTGACGGTTGATTTTGACTCTTTGACAAGACAAGCAATTTCGTGTCCACTTCTTAACATCGCTGTTAATGTTCGGCCATATAAATCTTTCTTTTATTAGTTTGATAGTAGCGCTGACACCGGGATGAGACAAGTTATGTAACTTCTCGAATACTGTATGTCTCATAGCTGCTGGAACGAAGGGTCGATATTTACCTGTAGAGGTGTCGCAGATTATTTTTGTCGTGCCAAAAGGAATTGCGTCTAGCTTTAAAGATGTTGTTTTAGAAGACATGATCTTCTTTAGTTCGGCATCATCTCGTTGTAAGTTTGAGAGACGTTTGTAGTCGATGTCTGGGCATACAATGTTGTCAATGTGCACACGTGATAAAGCATCTGCCACTTCATTGCTTTTACCCTTCACATGTCGCAGATCGGAGGTGAACTGAAATATAAACTCGAGATGTCGTAGTTCACGCGGAGAGTAGTTATCCTGTTTTGCTGATAAGGCATTCGTTAGAGCTTTATGGTCTGTAAAGACAGTAAAAGCTGTACCTTCCAGCATATGTCGAAAGTGCTTCATTGCTAAATAAACAGCCAATAACTCTCTACCAAATGTGCTATAGCGACATTGAGTAGGATTCAGTCGTTTCGAAAAGAATGCTAGGGGTTGCCATTCGCCGTGTACCTGCTGTTGTTAAACTGCCCCAATGGCAACGTCTGAGGCGTCTGTCATGAGAGACAGGGGGGCGTCATTTTGGCGTCTGACTAAGAGCGTCTTGTCATTTAACAATTGTTTAACAGTTTCGAAAGCTTTAACAGCTTCTGCGGGCAAATGGAATGAACGACTGTGTCCACGTAAGCAATCGGTTAATGGTTGTAAAGCTTTAGCACAGTTCGGAATAAAACGCCGGTAAAAATTAACGAGACCCAAAAATCGCCGTAATTTCTTAAAAGAATCTGGTAATGGATAATCTTTGATAGCTTGTACGTCATCAGGGACTGGTCTGATTCCTTGGCTATCGATTAAATGACCGAGAAATTTCAGTGAGGTCTTACCAAATTCGCATTTGTCTAAGTTGATAGTCATACCGTATTGGTTAAGTCTTTCAAACACAGTCTTCGCATGTTTCAAATGCTCGGCTTCGTCTGCACTTGCAATTAGTAAGTCATCGATGTATGCGTAGACGAAAGGGAGACCACGGAGTACTTGGTCAATTAGGCGTTGAAATGTCTGAGCGGCGTTCATTAGTCCAAAGGGCATGCGCACGAATTCGTATAAGCCAAATGGTGTGGTAATGGCGGTTTTCGGAACGTCATCCGGGTGGATGGGGATATGATGATACGCTCTGACAAGATCGATTTTAGAGAAAACTTTAACATCTGGTAAGTTGCTAGCAAAATCGTGGATGTGTGGTATTGGGTATCTATCATGTACCGTTTGCTTGTTTAAAGCTCGATAATCACCACACGGCCGTATCTCACCAGAAGACTTTTTGAGTACCATGTGAAGCGGTGAAGACCAAGAGCTGTTGGACGGTCGAATAATACCAAGCTCTAGCATTTTATCGAACTCTGTTTTTGCGATTTTAAGTCGATGTGGGTCAAGGCGTTGTGGACGTGCAAAAACTGGCGGTCCAGTGGTTTTAATATGATGAACCACATGATGCTTCGGTTCTGTTCCTCGAAAAGAAGGTTGTAAAAGGTCAGGAAACTGATTTACCAAATTGGTATATGGAGATGCTGGTGTGCGTGTGACCATCAAGTTCAACGATGATGCACGGCTAATCGTACCAGCAATGTACGTTTTATTGAGCGAGTCTATAAGCTTGGGGCTCATCGGATCAACTAACAGTTTGTGTTGCTGTAGAAAATCGATACCGAGGATTGGGGATGGGACGTCTGCAATGATGAAAGACCAAGTGTAGGTATTCTTTAAACCAAAATCTAAAGTCATTCGTTTAGTTCCATATGTAACAATACTGGACTGATTAACAGCTTGGAGCGTAATTGCTCGGTCAGAATGTTGACGTTCCTGTGTAGACGGAGGGAGAACACTCACCTCTGCTCCTGTGTCAACTAAGAATGTAGTACCGGTATTTTTATCTGTTACATAAAACAAACGACTTTTAGATCGTAGGTTGCCAACAGAATTTTTTACACATGACGATATATCTTTTGGTTTAGTCTGAAAGTCGCAAGGTGAACGGCACCGTCGTGCATTGCTTCCATAACTACGGTGATACCAGCAAATATTATCGCGATGTCGTGACGTGCTAGGGGATCGAGAAAGACGTCGACGAGACGAGCTTCTAGAACGGCTTGGTTGTGTGCGTGTGGTCAGTTTTGCTAACTGACTCAGTAAGGTGTCGACTTTGTGTTCTAGAGTCTGTATTCTATCATGAGTGTCTGGTATTCTGCTAGTGGAAGCGACAGATTGAGGTGTTGACCTCTCGTACATGCGATCCGCGATTTCGGTGAGCCTTTCTATGTCAATGTCGTCGTCTCCGAAAGCAAGAACCTGCTGGATGTTTGCGGGAAGTCGTCGTAGCCATATTTGGTAAAAGAGACGTTTATCGATTTCTCTTCCTGCAACTAGGCTTTGCATATGCCTCATGAGTTGAGATGGGGTTTTATCACCTAACTCAACATTGCTTAACAGGCGATCGAGTGCTTGCCTATCTGAAAGCGAAGTGCATCGCAGTACCTCTTCCTTCAACTTGTCGTAAGGCGCTTCTGTGCTGGGTTGGACGATGTATTGCCGTACCTGCTCGGCGACTTCGTCTGGTAGTACTGTACTCAAAATGCCAAATTTAGCTGTCTGTGACGTGAGCTTATTGCTAGCCATATAATGTTCCAGTCGTGCAAACCAAAGATGAGGGTCTCTGGGCTTAAAAACTGGTACAGTAAGAGAGATAGTACTAACAGATTCCAGCTCTAAGTTATCAGAGGTATTGGAAGACATGTTACAATTCGTAAACAAAATGGTTTAAGAGTAGGAAAATGGCAAAATTTGTGCTCAATAAGAGTACGGCAAAATAAAAAAGCATACAATGCAGGTGCTTACCACAAATTACTGCAGGTTGTGCTATGAGCAAACACAAAAATGAGTTCGAATTGTTTAATAAATATATAGATCCGCGAAAGTTAGAGTTTTAATAATCCAGCAAATGTAACGACACGTCGAGGTCAAAAGTCGTCGTCGGAGTCAGCAATTTGTCGCCGAGGTCAGCAAGTTATCGTTGGGCTCACCAATTTGTTGCGTGTTCTATTTGACTAAATTAGCGTACACGTATTTCCTAGTACTTCTTCACGTTTATCAATGTGCGCAGACGTTGTGGCTACTCGACGCCCACAACGTAAAATCAGAAGGCACTTGTGAAGAGTATAATCGTGTATTATATATATATATATAATCGAATAGCTTTTATGATAAAACCATTTTTTCTGACTATAGAACACCCCTATGAATTTTACGCATGTCTGGAAAAATTTACTTGCCCAGTCAAATTTCAAATGATGTGATCAATATGACATTTCCGAAAAAGATATTTTAGTGGAAAACGAGAGAATTGTCTCTATTCTTAGATGGTTTTATAGAAATACAAACACCCAATTAGACAAACAGACAGACAGAATGGAAATAAGCAAATTAGATTACCATAATTCCGCGTCTAGTTTTACACCATTATATAATTCAACCTTAACTGATAATTATACTTCAGAGAAGTACATTTCTTAGAAATGAAGCTGACTTTTTACTGTATTTTAACTATCTTTATCACATGGGGATTATTGCAGATCACAGCAGTTGCACCTGTAGGTCATCCAAAAGGTAATATTTTAAATGTTTTTACATTTTTAGTGTTTCATTAGCCATCATTATATATATATATATATATGCAAAAATAAATCCTTATTTTAAGATTAGCCTAATGTATTTACACAGCTCACTTCGAACAATTTGATCACACAAGTAATTTTCACAGGAATAGATATGAAAATAATAAAGCGTTAAGGAGTCAGGGAATAGACATAGATCAAGTTAAAGGGCTATATTGGAGGTATAAATAATGGTGGAGGTCAATAAACCAAAGACGAGATAATAGTACATCTGCCCTAGTATCAAAACAAACTTCCCCAAGGAATGTCTTCTTATTGTTTTGTCGAAATTCATAAAAAGAACTAGTTGTTTCAAATTCTTAAAGAGAAGACTCCCTCCATACAATATTAAGTGGTTAAATGAACTCGTTAACGCAAGGTGTGAAATTATCGTCGAATGCGACATGTTGGAATTTTATTAGTATTTGTATTACAATTCATACTATCCTCAGACAGTTGAATAAAAAGACCTTGAAATGTACTCAATTAGCACCAAATATTTCTAATTGTGTTCGTCTTACAAAGTCGCATATCGAAAATGTTAAACAAAAGTTACAAGGTCTACCTGCCTTTCATATCGGTGCGTCACTCATCCTATGCAATTTACAGATTTTTCCATACATGCCAAGTTTGAAAATTTGTACAGACAACTTAAACCTTTTGTCACAACATCATATGAAGATTGGGATTGGTTTGAGGCTAAGTTGGTGGATACAGCTAACCAGTTCTCAAACGATCATCTGAAACAAAGAAGCATCTCTACTCCTCAGCATTCCGCAGCCTTGAAGGAGCTGTAGAAAAACTTTAATATAACCCTACAAATGCTCTGAAGTTGTCATCATGGACATAAGTGATTATAAACCTAAAATGCTATCTACCTCGATGATGAAAGTAAATTCAGTTGAGATCACTCTTCAAAAAATATTCAATAATTGTAAGACACAGTGATGGCTAATATAGTGGAAATTCTCGTCTTAAGTGTTATTAATAAAGACACATTTGACTCTTTATATCCATCAGGATGTAAATTCCCACATACGTATTGTTTACTCGAAATAAATAAACCCAGTAGTCTTCTACATCCTATTATGTCAATATGCAGATCACAGACACACATAATTTCCCGATGGTTAGTAGAATCATTACACTCAATTAAAAGACAACTCTTTAAGTATGCACTGAGAGATAAATTTGAATTGATTAATTACCACTGATGACGTCAATATAAAAAATGAAACTATGTATTCTTACCATATGAACTGTTTATTCACTGATGTACCCTTAATCAAAACAGTTGACATTTTATGTTATTACATTTCTACACTTAATTTCCTATTCCAGTTTCCTCTATCTTATTTAAAGGATTTGTTACTTCTGTGTACTAGTAATGTAAGGTTCACATTTGAAGTACATTTTTTCCGTCAAATTGGTGACGTTGTCATAGGAAACCCATTGGGGCCCCATTTAGAAGATATCTATTTATCGTGTATTAGGAGTTTATCAGAATATTCAACTGAAAATCTACCACTATACAGAAGATACACCGATGACATTTCAGTCGTAAGCGATAATCCTTATTCTGCCATTTCAGTTTTGGATCAAATGAATGAAGTGAAAACGAGCATATCACTTACGTCTTCTATAGAAGATAAAGATAACTATTTGTCTTTCCCAGATATATTGCTTAGTCGATAGCCTGATGGATAACTGTAACGATCTATTCACAGGAGACCTACCTGAACAGAACAGTATCTTAATTACCACAGTTTCTCTCCTGTTTGGTACAAAAGAGCCTTTAGTGAGGTGACTCTTTAGTTTGATTCAGCAAATTTGCACAGAAGATACACTTGAAGATGAAAAAGGAAAACTGACAGAAACTCTGGTTAATAAAAATATGATGGCCCATGCTTGTACTACCGTCTAAGAAGGATGTATCTGTCAAGCCACCCCAGATGGGTGATCACACCAGCTCAGTAAGGTTGTTTTAGCTTCAAAGTCTGAGGTATACTGTCCTCATGAAAGTTTTACTAAATCTAAGCGCTTCCATTCAAACGACACAGAAGTGGAATCGTTCATATAGACATCCATTTCCAAAGCTATGGGTTATTCACATCAACCTTTGAGACATCTTTTAATATGTACAGTAGAAATTACAATTTCCTCATCTCAATTGTCTGGTAAAATATTTCATGATTCTTCCCCAGTCGATCTAAATTTGTTGCAAAAAGGAAACAGCTAATGTCATAGTATTAAATTTCTGAATAACGTAGTGTTAACTGAAAGCTTAATGTTACATATCTCAACATGATACATTAATAGTTTTCGAAGAGCCAAACATTAATTAGTAAGTTGAATATTTCGTAGGCAAATCTTATGAAGTCATTTTAGACATTGTCTGCCTTGCGGCTTTTTTGAAGTAGTAAGTCAGCTCATCGTTATTATTATTCCCTTGGGTTACTAATGAAATATAGGACTTCAAGAGGACATCTATATCTTATCCTATTCTTTGCAGTCCTCTTTATTTGCACCTGAGGTTGCCCGTGCATCGGCAGAAGATAGGAGATATTTATTAAGCAAAAACGCATAATATTAATACAATATTAACCATGTAAACAGTTGCTATGACTGGTTGGCGATTGGTCCAATGTAAAACAAGAGGACGAAAATTTATTCAATGAGGTTATTTCCAGATTACAGCTTAAACTGAATCCACATCTGAGGAATGAAGATTTCTATCCCTTCAGCCATCTACTTAAAACGTAGATTTTAACTTTTGACTGCTTCCTATCAGTCTGCATTTAAATTGGACACGCCACACCTACAGGCTCCTATCTTCTACTCACATGGCATCTCGCATGTCACGCTCGGACACCCAACTTGTCGTTTCCGATTCAATGGCCTGCCAAGCGATGTCATCCGATGGTCTCCCTGGCGTGTGTCCAATCCATCTCAACTTGCTTCGGCATAACTCCTGAGCCATAGCTTCTTGACTGGTTCCTTTCCACAGTTTCTTGTTGCTACTTCTTTCTGACCATCTGATGGTGAGTATGGGGCGAAGGCAGCTGTTGAGGAAAGTCTGCAACCTGTAAGGAATGCTTTCCGTGACGCACCAAGTTTCTCAACCTCATACAAGAATTGACTTAACATTGGTGTTGGAAATCCGAATCTTGTTCTTTATGGTGAGTTAGTGAAGAGGATTTCGGCACCGATTTTGAATTCACGGGTGTCTGTATAACCTTTCTGATTCTGGTTTGACACCTTCATCCACGGAGCGTGCTTGTAGTTGAGACGAAGCTGCCTAAATAAGTGAGGGAGGTTACCTCTTTCACATTTATTCCGTTGACAGTGGTCGGTGTTTGTTGGTTATCTACATCACGTGCGTCTTCCTTTGTGCTCACTGAAATTCCGGTCTTTGCTGCTTTTTCTGACAACTTGTTGTTTTTCGCCCATAAATCTTCCAGTTTGTGTGACACCAGACATAAATCGTTGTCAAACTCCAAATCTTCCGGTGTCTTCTTGCTGGTCCAACGTGTACCCACCTTCTCTCCCCCTGGTCACTTTTATGACCTATCCCTCCACAATTAGGAATATCATCGGCGATAATAAACCTCGCCTAGATTACTAGGTCACTAGTATTCTAGCCGGTCCCAAGCCCGGATAAAGAGGGAGGGTTGGGGCGTGGTGCTAGCAACTCCACCCCCAAAACTTAACCAAATTGCTACTAAAACTTCAACGCACAAATATATTCAAAATTCTAAAATTACAAATAGTGACCTTATTTTTCGCTGGAATCGGGGAAGTGAAATGACGCGGGCTGGTGAAAGCCTTCGGGAAGCCAGTCAGCCGATGTGCCTGCCTTCTTTCGATGAAAGCGAAAATAAGGATGGGGACGTGGAATGTTCGTACAATGTACGAAGCTGGGAAGGCTGCTCAGGTAGCCGCAGAAATGAGGAGATATAAATAGAAGTGTTGGGAATCTGCGAGAGCAGATGGAACGGATGTGGAAGGAGCCAACTATCAACTGGAGAGACAATAATCTACTCCGGTCACCCAGAGGACAATCACGAGCACACCGAGGGAGTA